AGGAGAGCAGTGGGGCGGGTGCTGGGAGTGGGCGGGGCTGTGGGGCCTGTGCTGGGACTGGGCAGGGCTGTGGGGCCTGTGCTGGGACTGAGCAGGGCTGTGGGGCCTGTGCTGGGACTGGGCAGGGCTGTGGGGCCTGTGCTGGGACTGAGCAGGGCTGTGGGGCCTGTGCTGGGACTGGGCCCTGCCCTGCCCTGCCTGCAGTGCTGCGCCCGGGGTATGACGTTGTGTTGGCACAGGAAAGGATTCTTATGCCATAAATGCTTGAAGAGCTGTCTAATGTGTAGGCAACTTATTGTGTAGTGCTAAAGATGCACAATTGTACTGAATTTTCCCCCTTTTTTTGGTGTTTTCAGATGAAAATGTTTATCTCTGTCCCACTACAGCCAGAGGAGCATAAAGCATGGGGAGGTTTCACAAGCATTCTCTTTGGGGAATTACCAGTGTAACGTTTCCTGATTTTACTTGGTTGCTCATTGCAAACACAAGTTAAAGACTGGTAGCAAAGGCTTGCTGGTTTTTCAGTAGTAATTTTTCTTCTCAGATTCCTCAAGTATTTGTTACTCGACTGAAGTTGTAGGTGGGATGCAGTTTCTGTACAGAGCTGGTTGTAAGACTGCTTAGAGTAATCAAGGTGTTGGCCAAACGAGTGCTGTGCACCGTGGTCCAGCACCTGTTCTCCTGGGGCAGAGCTGTGGGTAACAAGCCAAATATGGTGAAAACTGGTGAAAAAAGGAAATTTCTTCTGAATTTTTTATCATAATTGTCTAATATTTCCTTCAGTTTATATAACTGTAGTTGCTACTGATTCTGGAAAGCTGGAGATGGCTTGTTAAATGTTTATAAGTAATTTTGTTTTTCTGCTCTCTCTTCAGGAACTCGTAAAGTGAACCTCACATCCTGGCATCACGACAAGGGCCAGGCAAACTTAGCCAATATGACCTTCAGTGATGGAAAACTAGTTGTTAATCAGGATGGTTTTTACTACCTTTATGCCAACATTTGCTTTAGACATCATGAAACTTCAGGAAACCTGACAAAGAGAGGGCTTCAGCTGATGGTGTATGTGACTAAGACAAACCTTAAGATGAGGCGCTCTGATGTGTTGATGAAGGGAGGCAGCACCAAGTACTGGTCAGGGAATTCAGAGTTTCATTTTTATTCTGTAAATGTGGGAGGGTTTTTCAAATTAAAATCTGGTGAAATGATTAGTATCCAGGTATCAAACCCATTGCTACTGGATTCATCACAAGAAGCAACTTATTTTGGGGCATTTAAAGTGAGGGATTTAGACTGAGTCTTTAGTGTGCTGAAAATTGTTTGAGTTCTTAGCAGTCCAGAAACAACTTGAAGACAGAAGTGAAAGCCCTTTGCAGCCTAATGGCATGTGTATAAGCCACCTATCTCCCAAGACACTCCTTGCCCTGTGCTGAGTCCCACAGAGCCACAGGAGGCAGAGTTACAGAGTTCTCCTGATTCAGCCTTGTAGCAGTTTTACTTCATGTGTCTCCACGGGCTTCAGTGGGGTCATTACCATTTATATGTCAGTGTAGTTGAAATCAGAGCCATTATTATTATTAAACTTCAGTTTCCAAGTTCTGCCCTGACTTTTAAACCTGTGCTGCTCTTCCTGGTTTTGGCACAAACACAGGGCAGGGCAGAACTTGGCCCTTGACTTGCATTTAGGGCTCAGTTCTGCTTGGGGTTGATCACTCTGACCCTGGGATGGCAAAGGTGGTGCAAGTGGGGCTAATCCCCTTGCATCTGGTGTGGCTTTTCACATGCTTGGTTAAACCTCTTCTTGCTGTGCTGGAGTGTGGTTGGAGAGCTCAGGCCACGGCAGAAATGAGTTGCAGAACACCTAAACAGTTAAGTTTTTACCTGATTTTTACCAGGAAGAAGGGAAATTATCTGGCCTTGCAGTTCTAAAAGGTTAATTACAGGTCATTTTTATTATTGTTGCACAGTTAATTGCAAATATAAATTGCCAAAATATGATGTGCCTTTAAAGTATTATGTTGTGCCTAAACCTGCAAAGACATTTTTTAGACAAAAAGTATGTATTTTTATATTCTGTAATATCTAAAGTTATATTTCAGATGTAATGTTTTGTGTAAAGAAAAAATGTAAATTATATTGTCCTATAGTATTTGATACAAAATATTTAAAATCTCTTGCTATTTGTATATTTAATGTTTTAAACTGTTTTTAATGTACAGACATGTTAAACTGGTGCACTTTTTAATCCCAATGGGAAAAACTGCAGCTAAAAGAGGTTGTTTGCAATTAGCAAATGTAATATATAACTTTGTTCTTTTTAACTTAATAGATTTCTGTTAAACTTGTCAGTATTATTGGGGGGAGGGGAGAAATCACACCAATGTCATGAATGATTACACCAGAATGCTGGTCACTGGGTGCCTTTCAAACCTCTAGAGGGTAACTGATATTACAAAGCTGGCATTACCTTAAAAAAACCTTAGGAAATAATACATTATAGGCCACATAAACATGTTAGGGCTATTTATAGACACCAAGTGGGCACGTTTTCCACAACAAAACCTGCCAGGCGTACAGTCTGCAGTCGAGAAATGACTTTTTGAGCTTAGTTTGCTGAAGCAGGGAAGGTTGCTGTCCCTGCATTGCCTGCCCCTGTCCCCTGCACACCTCTGGCAGAGCTGGCAGGTGAAGGGCAGGGCTGGGGGGGCCCCGGGGGGGTCTGGGGGAGCAGGCAGCCCAGAGCAGCTCGGGCAGTGGCTGGCCACTGCTCCAACCAGCCAGCAGGGCACTGTGGGGGGGCTGGCAGCCTGCTGCAGCCTGGGGTGGGGCTCTGCCGCCACGTCTTGCCCAGGAGGGCTGGGAGGCTGGGGTCTGGGGGTGGCTGTGGGGGGCACAGGAGAGAGCCCCAGGTCCTCCGGGGGATGTTCAGAGCACATCTGGGCAGGGAACTGCAGCTTGTCAGGGGAAGGGATGGGGGAGGCTCTAGGAGTGTGTGTGCTCTGAGAGTGAGGGGGGTAAAACCTGCTCTTCAGTGCAGTGGGAATCACAGGAGGTAAATTCCCAGATCTGTAGGAATTGAGGCTTCATGCAAATCCTCAGGCTTTTTTGTAAGGAACAGAGTTGAATTCAAGCCATTTTTTTATACTGTATAATAAACGTTTCTTTTTAATGTTTATATTGTTTTCTTACAAAATATATTTCTAAGAAAAAAGAACTTTGTGATTTCTTTATTTTCCTGTGTCCCCCTAATTGGTGTGCAGTGTCATCACTTTGTTCAGGTGTTCTGCTCGGGCAGGGTATGGTACAACTCAAACCAAGGGACAGGTCAGCTATTTTGAGACAATTACAGTGAATTTATGGAGTTGTGGTTTGGCTCCTGACACCCATCCACCACTTTCAAGTAGGGTTACATCACCCAGGACTGGAAATCGAGCTGGGAAGGAGGACTTTGCATTTGTTCTACACCAAACGAGCGTCAGTTCAAAGCCAGAAATGAGTGAGGAATCCAGGGCTTGACTTCCCAAATCCTGAGAGCTACAGGGCACGCTCAGTCAGGATGTTCAGAGGTGCAGGGGAGGGTTTGAAGGGTTTGAGTGTTGAGTTAGGGCTCCGGAGCTGACCCTGGAAGCGTGCTGCCTACGTGTGGTGGTGTGGGGAGGAAGGGAGCTGCCAGCACCCACTGTCACCCGAGTGAGGCTGTGAGCCACAGGCGTGTGCTGGGTCAGGTCACAGCACCTGCAGGGTGGTGCTGAGTCCCTCTGAAGACACTGGCTGATTGTCTGTGTCCTGGCCCCCAGCAGTCAGGCAGAGCTCCAGCTTGGGAGCACATCTCTGCTCCTTAGGACTGCTGTGGGCACCCACATTTCACAGTGCTGCAGGGCTCTGCGTTTCCCTCCTGTGATGACTTTGGGGCCTAAATGTTTTGGTAGTTTTGGTTTCATGTTTTTAGGTTTGTTTTGGGTTTTTCCTCCCTTGGTGATGCAAGTTCTCCAGCGATGTGATAAACTGAGTGGGAGAGATGGGATAGAACAGTCCTCAGGGGGCTCCATGGGCTACCCTGGGGTTTGTCATCAGGAGGGACATCCTGGCTTTTCCCTCTGCAGAACAGAAAGCAGGAGGCCCTGTTCTGCCTGGCCTGCCCTGGCCCTTCTCCCTTCCTACCCTTACATGTGTTCAAAAGGGAGCAGGAAGCTTCACGCAGAGCTGTTGGTACAGTTTGATTTTGCCTTTTATATTAAAGCAGCCACAGGTAGAAAATCGTCAGTGGTGGCATTTGAGGCAGCCTGGGCACATAGGACAAGGTGATAAAGTGAAGCCACCTGCTCCAGCACTGACCTCCCCAAAACCAAGGCTTGCCCCGGGAGTGGTGGTTCCTCCCTGACTGCCTCAGCAGGACACAGTTAAGGGAGCAGAGTAATGCATTAACGAGGAGCTGCCCTGAGGAGCAGGTAAGGTGGCCTTGGCTGAGAAGGGTCCGTGGGACTCATTTTATGATCTTAAAGAGATCATTTTGGTCTGGGGACAGAGGATTTGCTGAAATCTGAAGTTTAAAAAACTTAGGTGGAACCATTTTGTTTGGAATTCAGTGTGTGTGCTTGCATGCATGTAAACATCTGTGTATTCCTACTGGCTCCTTGCTACAACAGTTTTCATAGGTGGGGTTACGAGTGGATGTTTTGGCACCTGGGTGCCCCCCCCTGCCTTCCCCAGCTCCCTCCAGCCAGGGAGTGTTTCTTTTTCTGTCTATCCCACTTCCTTTCCTCTGGCTCCTTCCAGCTGCCAGTGGCTCCTGCTGCCCCCACTCCCGGAGAGAGCCTTCTGGAGTTAGCAGCAGCCTCGGGGCAGGTCAGGGACACTGCCCTTTGGCCACTTGCAGGTGGCTTTGACCTGTCTGTGAATGGAAAACAGTGAGAATCAGTTTGTCAAAGAGATTTTTCCAAGCGTTGATGTAAGAGCTGAACTGGAGAGGAACAAAATAAAGTAGTTGGGGAGTAAGGAAGCAGCAGATGAGGGACTGGAAGCAATCCCTGCTGCCCTTTGGGTTGAGGTACCAGCCTCAGGGGGCTCGGAACAGTTGTTGCATGTTTATACTCTTGCTGTTGAAAGGCTCCAGCAAAACGTCCCAGCCACGAGCACGGGCAGCGTTTTGCTGCAGTGGTTTCAGAAAGCTCACCCTTGAGCCAGAGAGTGTTCTTAGGTGTGTGCACAGGCACTTTCTTGTGCTTTCTCCCCCTCTGCACTGGTGTCCTGTTCAGTGTTTCCCAGTTGCTGGTGGACTTTGCCAGCTACTGGGTTTATTTTTGGTGAGCTCGCTGGGGTCTGGCCCTGTAGATTCCACACTGATGTTACCATCTGGGACTAGCTCCACAGCAGAGCTCAGTCGTGAAAAGCTGAGAAACCCGTGTCACCTCAAGGCTGTTTAAATCAGATTTCACAAACTTCTAGGCAACTTCAGATATTCTTTTTTCTCTGATTTCTTTTAGCCATAGCTCTGAATGCGCTGGGGTCTCAAGCTGGGTTTCCAGGGCTCTCTTTGTGCTGGGGTGGAGGGGAGAGGCTGGGTGTCTCTGATTTACTGCCAGCTGCTCCCAGGGTATTTTATGAGGTTTAGAGAGGGCGTATTTCCCTGCCCTTCATTCAGTGTTTGAGCCATGTGCTCTCTCCCACCTGCCCTCTGGTGTGAGACACATTCCTCTTCCCCAGATCGCCCGTTACCAAACTCCAACCAGTTTATGGCTGGCTGTTACTGAGGACAAGCAGGAACTCCTGTTGCCTTCGGCTCCTTACATGCTGCAAGTCACAAACTGATTCATTTTTCCAGCCTTCTGGTTCTTGATTCATTCCCTGCGTGAGAGATCCCTGGTTGTTTCTATCAGAAAACACCAGAGTCTTCCTGTGACTGCTGAGCTCGGGTTTTAGGTGCTGGCACATCTCTGTAACCATCACGTGGCTGCTGCATCACCCTGTGGGTCCCGAATGCCCTTGGTCCATGTCTGTACTGCCAGGAGTGGGTCTGGCTGCCTGCTGGGCAGATTTCACACCCTGACTCCGTAAGGGGAGGATTTACAAACAGAATCTTCTCCCCTGTCCCCTTCCCAGCAGGTGATGATTTTTGGAGCACCAAAACGTGCCTACAGGGAAGGTAGCTGTTTGGGAAGCCCAGATACTCTTAATTTTATCTCATGTCCCACCAATTTGAAGGATTTTAACTTACTCTTCACTATTAATTGGACTCAGTGAAATGCTTTGTATGATTTTTTTCCTTCCTGTGTCACAAAAAGACAGCAGATGCCAGAA